GGAAGTGAGGTGGATTAGGAACTGGTTGAAAGGAAGGAGTCAGAGAGTTGTAGTCAATGGGGCAGAATCTGGTTGGAGGTGTGTGACTAGTGGAGTCCCACAGGGGTCGGTACTGGGACCGGTGTTGTTCAACATCTTCATCAACGACCTGGATGAGGGTATAGAATGTACCCTCAGCAAGTTTGCTGATGACACTAAGCTGGGAGGAGTGGCTGACACACCAGAAGGCTGTGCTGCCATTCAGAGAGACTTAGATAGGTTGGAGAGTTGGGCGGGGAGAAACATGATGAAATTCAACAAGGGGAAGTGCAGAGTTTTACATTTGGGGAAGAACAACACCATGTCCCAGTACAGGTTGGGGGCTGAACTGCTGGAGAGTAGTGTAGGTGAAAGAGACCTGGGGGTCCTGGTAGACAGGAGGATGACCATGAGCCAGCAATGTGCCCTTGTGGCCAAGAAGGCCAATGGCATCCTGGGGTGCATTAGAAAGGGTGTGGTTAGTAGGTCAAGAGAGGTTCTCCTCCCCCTCTATTCTGCATTGGTGAGGCCACATCTGGAGTATTGTGTCCAGTTCTGGGCCCCTCAGTTCAAAAAGGACAGGGAACTGCTCGAAAGAGTCCAGCGCAGAGCTACGAAGATGATTAGGGGAGTGGAACATCTCCCTTATGAGGAAAGGCTGAGGGAGCTGGGTCTCTTTAGCTTGGAGAAAAGGAGACTGAGGGGTGACCTCATCAATGTTTACAAATATGTAAGGGGTGAGTGTCAGGGGGACGGAGTTAGGCTTTTCTCAGTGATGACCAGTGATAGGACAAGGGGTAATGGGTGTAAATTGGAGCATAGGAAGTTCAAGGTGAATATCCGAAAAAATTTTTTTACTGTAAGAGTGACAGAGCACTGGAACAGACTGCCCAGGGAGGTTGTGGAGTCTCCCTCACTGGAGACATTCAAAACCCACCTGGATGAGTTCCTGTGTGATGTACTCTAGGTGACCCTGCTCTGGCAGGGGGGTTGGACTAGATGATCTCTTGAGGTCCCTTCCAACCCCTAAGATTCTATGATTCTATGAATAGCTGAAACAGGAATTTTATCTCCTATGAGGGGGTGTCTTACTAGTGTAAATCAGCTTGCCCCTGGGTGTCTTAAATAACCCATTGCCCCTTGGGCACAGTGCAATTTCCATGCTCTAGGTGTGACAGCCTGGTAAGCTCAGACTGTGCCAGCAGAGCAACATCGCAGGCAGCTGGACTCCTGCAGGCTCCATGCAGAGCTGCTCTGTGCAGAAGCAGCAGGACAAATTAACTGGGCTAATTGTGTGAACATAGAGCAACTGCACAGCTTGTATACTGCAAGTCTGGTGCATCTGGCATTGTACCCAGCACCAATCCATGGAGTCCATCTCTCAGCTGTCCAAGGGCAAATTTGCTTTGGGGACAGGCTTACCTGGATGTCAGTTTGTTCCATCTGTCTTTCTGTTGGTTTTCATTTGCTTCTCATTGTTTTAGAACTCTTCTCACCTGCTTTCTCTGTCCTCTTTTATCCCTTTTCTGCCTACTCCGTGGCATGGCATGGCATGACATGCCATGCATGCATCAGCTCCTGAGCCGCAGTGGAAACATCTGGAATTCTGCATGGCTTTTATAGTGCTTTGAGCTCACCATCAAGTTTTTTTTACCCAAAGAGTTGCACTTTTTCTTCCAGAAAGCCCAGCTGTGTTATGTATCCATTTCAGCCAAATGAGCTTCCTGACAAAGTGCATTCCACAGCTAGCATTTCCTCACCCAAGGAAACCACCCTTTGCTGTGTGCATAGAAGGGTTTTAATCCTGCTGTTCCATGACAGAGTGAGGTATTAGGCGATGACCCTAATAAATGGTCCAATTTTTTGCAGAGCAGAAAAGCACAGGAAAGTGAAAACTGCATTAGAAAACACCCTTTCACCTCTCCCAGGAAATCCTTTCATTGTATGGGAATAATCAAGCCTCCTAAAAGAATGTTCTTGTTATTTAGATTTATTAATAGCTAATGTTTTGCTTCATGGTCCAGTCTAGGAGCATTGTTAGTCAAGCCTGAGCTGAGAGCTGTTAACCTGGATGAAGCTCAAGTGGTTCAGTGCATGTGGGAAACTGCACGAAGTATCACTGCAAGGGAAAATTGCTCCTTACACTGGTGAGGGGTTGCCACATTTGCTTTGCCCATGTGGGATCAAGCATCACATGTTCTACTGTTACATTCATAAAGCTTTCCACTTTTGAATAATCTTTAGTAGTAACTTTTATTCCCCTGAATGACCTCTAGAGAGGAGCTTTGCAGATAGTCCAAAGAAAGCAGCCCTGAACACCTCTTTGGAAGCACTGTCCTCAGCAAATTAGACACAGAAGCCTTTGGAACTGTCTTTCCAAATGTCTGCTGGTTTTATGGAGGCTAGTGATGTAACTGAGAAGCACCGTCTGCACTTCAGGTTGAATTTAGACATTTTCCATGCTAAAATAATTCCAGCTGCTTAATTTGCTTCCTTTTCCTGTAGTTTTTCTTCCAATTGAAGTATTTCATACTGACAGTTTTTACAGATACTGGCATTGGTCAAACAGAATTCCTGACCTAAATTCAGACAGGAATTTATTGTAAAATAGTATTTGTCTTTCCTACCCATCTGCTGCTCTTTTTGGGGTAGCAGGGAAGGTAGCTTTAACTTTGAATTGTAGTTACACAGAATCAGTTTAGGGTTTTTTAGCATTTTAGAGTAAGCAAAGTGGCAATCCAGGATAGCTGTGGTCTGTGAGCCATTCAGATTAGTGGAAGCAGCAGAAGAGGACAGGGTGCTCAGGAGGGAACTAATCCCAGCAGACCAGTATATCTCTGCAGGGAGCAGCAAGGTGTGCTCAGAGCCCCTGGAGGAGCTTGGTCTTGCTCTTAGTGTAGCGGGAAATACCCTGTAGGGTATCAAAGAAAAAGCTCTTCTGGGTCAGAACCTGATGTTTTCTCCCATCCTAAGAGCAGCTCTTGTTCCAGCAAAGCTTTGAGGTTTGCTCAGAGCCAGTAATGGAAGCTGCACAGGCCCTAGAGACTTAAATTATTACTCTGGATTTGGAAGCAATATTTGGGTGAGAAGTTTTTCCTGACTGTGATGCACAATGATACAAGTGCCTCAGCAGTCTTGCATTTACCAAATTGTAGTGCTGCTCATCATCAAATAAGCAACACTCTTTTCTCTTGTCAGTGGGCTTCTTCACAGTCTGACTACAAGGATGCAAGCCCAGAGAAGTGACCCGTGATAAACTGTGTACCATTATTGTTGGTGCTGAGAGTTGAGCAAATAGCATAGAAGTTCAGTTTGAATTGTTTATTGGACTAAAAGCCGTTTTATAGTTTGAAGAAGAGGAGGCTGAGGGGAGTCATTGCTCTTTACAACTGCCTAAAATGAGGTTGTATGGAGGTGGGAGTTGGCCTCTTCTCCCAAGTGAATAATGATAGGACCAGAGGAATGTAGAACAAGCTGAGCAATTAGAATTGGATACTAGCCCGCTTGAAGAGGATCGACTGCACTTAATTCTGATGTTTAACCTCAGCAGCAGAATGGTGGGACAGAGAGTATGCCTGCACTGCACGGAATCAAAGTCTACTAGACAAAAAGTAGCAATGTCCTTTTCTAAAGGATCCTTAAAAATACTCATTCATAATTTCCTGCTAAGATTGATCTCTGCCAGGAAGCTTGAATAGTGGTTTGCTACTTTAATTAGTAATCAGGTTTTGTGACTGTCAGTGGAAACTCAGCTTCACATAGGGTTTCATTGCACAGGAGGTGCAGGGAGAAATGGAGTGGGATGTGTTGCCATATAGTGGCATTATAGATAATAATTTATATTAGGTGGTCTAAAGATTTGCAATTCAGTCACCCATGGTGCCCACCCCCCATCTTCCTGCTACCCTGTTGCTTCCCTGGAGAAGCTGCCCTTCCCTCGGAGGACATCTCTTTCCACAGTAGCCCCTGCAGAAACACCCTGAGAGACTCCACTCAGGTGCTCCCTTGGTGATGCTGCAGGTGGTACTGTTTGAGAAGTCATATAAAAAGACCCAAAGGGACAATGATTAAGCTCCCCAGTGGAACAATGGGAAACTGAGGAGAAGTGTAATCCTAGATGAGAAATAGTATTGGACAGGTGGCTTTATTCCCTGTTGCTTTCCTATGTAGGTTCAGGTCACACAAAATAATGGTTTTTAATGTATTTAAGGCTTAAAGATGCAGGTGAGTGCCTCTGCTTAGACTCCAGAGGCTCTAAAAAAGGCAGTTAAATAGGTCCACAGCTTTGAGGATCTGTATCTCGGTTCTCCACTTGTACAGTGGATGTAATTGTGGTTCTGCCATGGAGACAGATACATCAGAGCCTCTGGTGCTCCTGGGTACCTTAGTGACTACATTTCTACACAGCCCTGTAAGCAGTAAGTTGTCTCTTTGCCTTGACTCAGTGGTAAGTGCTGTTCAGCCTGTGCTGGTGGGCATGATGTACTGACATGGAGGACCCTCAGCAGCTGAGATGCAGGCTGTGAGGTTTCTGTCTGGTTTCCTTCACTGAGGTGAACAAGAATAGGGAAGAAACTACGTGTGTCTGTGTGTGTCTTTATGTGCCCTTTCCTGTGAAGCATTAATTGGTGGCTGAATACAAAGTTTCCTTTCCCATTTGTTCTTACAGGACTCACATAGGACTTACTTGCCCAAAAGAAAATTCAATGGTACAACAGTGCAAGGATGACACAGCCTGCATCAGGGTGGAACAGTTTGAAATACTGTCAGGTCCTAGGGGTGCTACTATAATAATACTCCTTCTTCCTTGGCAACAGGGAGTAGGCAAAATTATCTGTGATGCAAGGGTTTGACTTAGCACTTACATCTTGCAAGCTAGTGTTTAGCAACTCAGCAGTTTAGGATTACAGAATTAATCAGAAGAGAGAAATATTGTTGCTTGAATTTGTTACATGGTTTTATGAACTTTCTTCTTTTTACAGATTCGTTTAAACAGCAGAGGACTTATCTATTCTGTTGGTCTCCTGCTGGCATCTGTTTTTGTCACAGTATGTATATGTTCTTTTGTTCTTCATTTCCAAATGAGTGATTTCTGTAGACTCTTCACCTGTTCCTTTCTCTTCTCCAGCTGTACAATTGGTTGCAAAATCTGTTGTTAAGGGATAGAAACAGTCACTCCTATTGTAAACCTGCCGAGACCTGAATCTGGCACTTTGCAGAAGAAGCTGTTGCTGTGGCTCTCATATTTGTATAGTTTTCATGGGAGAAGTCCAAGAGATCAATTAGTAATCATTAGTTGTTTTTCCTGCTAGAGTTGAAGCAGATCCCTTCATGCCTGATAAGATCCATTCTCCTGTTGGACAGGCAGACAAAATGCTGGACAGTTTGCTTTGGCCCCCTGTAGGAACTTTCTGAAATACAACTAGACCAGAACAAACAGTGCCTGGTCATGACAGTGTTGCCATTGAAATCAGGGCCTCATCTTCCCTGACCTGTCCAGGTCCAGCAGAGACTAGAAATGATAGAGAGAGAGGGGATTTATGTGACATCTTCCAAATCCTGAGACCAGCTGCTGTAGGGAGTCCTCCTGTGCACTGCACATGAGTACTTGAATCTTTTCAGAGGTCTGTGTGGAAGCAAACTGAGCAAAGTCAAGCACAGCCTTGGACTGTGTGGCTCTAGACAGAGGTGTGGGGGCACATGAATAATTCTTGTGAAGCAAAAAGAATCTGGCCTTTCTTCCTGGTGAAGAAAAGGAGGCATCAAGAATCCTGAAAACATTTCTGATTTAATTAAATGGAATTTCTTGCCAGAACAAAATTAATTACAGAAACATAATTACAGAATTGCAGAAACGTTAATTACAGGATTTGAGGTGATCTAAGTTGGTCTGGCTTCAATGGTTGCAAGGGGGCTACTCTGATTTACTTCAGCAATCTTGTTGCAGTACTTGCAGTGGTATTGCTTCCATGGGACCATGATCAGTAAGGGAACAGTCATCTTTGTGCTCCTGTAGTTGAGATGGGGATTTACCACTTTGTTCAAAATGTTCCTGCTGTGGTGGCTTACTCTGTGTTTGTTGTAGGTTTTTGGTGTCCACCTGAACAAATGGAAACTGGATAAGAAGCTAGGGTGTGTGTGCCTTTCCCTTTATGGCATCTTCCTGTGTTTCTCCATCATGACAGAATTCAATGTTTTCACTTTTGTGAACTTGCCAATGTGCAGAGAACACTGATGCAGGTGCCAGACTGTCAGGAGGAACTTCCCTCTTACCTGTGCAATACAAACGGCTGGCGTCTCCTCAGCGCGGTGCACCTCCGAGTCCTGACGTCCGTCCCACTGTTCATAGGACCCGTGGCCCCCTCCAGGTCTGCCCTCTCCCTGGCCCCCACAACCTGGAAAAATCCTGCATCGATGTGAAGATTATTTTTTTCAACATTAATTTCCTAGCTCAGTTTTTGAACAGTGTGACTGGGACTCTAAAAATGAACTGGCTGCTAACTGGCATCAAGCCAGGCAAAACTGGTCTGCTACAATTCCTTCTTTTTTTAAGTTATTTGATGGAAGACTAATCTAATTTATGATTTAATACTATTGCTACAATGCAGAAGAGGGTACATCGTACAGGGGCTGATTTTCAAGGAGAACCATGAGAATTTTTTTGGGGGTGTGTTTTTTGGTTTTGTTTTGTTTTTTGTTTAGGTGGGGTTTTTTGGTTTGGTTTGGGGGTTTTGTTTGGGTTTTTTCGTTTGTTTTTTCTTTTAATTGCCAGAGCGCTGGTTCTCCTGTAACAATCCAAAGGTCACAGGGCAGTGTAATATGGGAATACAATTCAAGGTACTCAGCATATGAATGGATTTACTGCATATTAAAAGAAGACTGTCACGGCAACAGACAATTACTTTTTACGATAAATAATGAATCTTGTACAGGTGTGATGAGGAAGGCAATGTAAACCTGGATTCAAAGGGTAAAACACTGCTACTGTTTTACTACTAATGTTGGAGTTTTATTACTAAGGTGTTTATGGTCTTTCCAAGCAATAGTTTGATCGCCAGTCCAGGAGGGCTACCAAGGAGATGTCCTGGTTTTTCATGATCTGCCTGTTGAAATGGAAGGTCAGAACGTCCTCTGCTTCAATTTCTTGTTTTGGGGGGATTCAATAGTTCATGTCTTACTTGTTTTGAGAACGACGTAAGTCCGTGTTGGAATTTTTCTAAATGAGTTACAGACACTGGTTTCTTAAAAGGAAAGAGGCATATTTTGCACAGACATAATTACTGAAGTTGTAATTTGCCACTCTGGAAAGAATACACTGGACCTGGCCAGATATTTGTCTTCTTAAGCAGTTGAACTTATCTGATAACAGATCATGTGGATTCATCACCCCTCCTTTGGGAGGGAGGAAGACACAGAGAGAGAGATGGCACTTTTAAAAATGTGGGATATCTTCAATGCAGACTTGCTCACAGATCTTAAGTTATTGTGAAAGTTTAGCTGTTCATTGTTCCAATATCCCTGCTAGATTTTGTATAATTCTGTATTAATATGCAGGCAAATTCCACTCCATGAGAAACACCATCACAGCTTCATTTGTATGTACTGATACTGTGGATTCTTGCCAGTGCTGGCCCTTGTATTTACTTTGAGCACTGATCACATCTGATTCATATGGTATGTTTTTTCCTCTTTCTTGTATGTGTTCTACTATGAAATGTATTAAGATACTGCCAGCTAGGTGAATGTTTTTGTCTATGGTACAAACAGTGGCAAATATTGGTAGTAAAGGCACAAACTCTACCTAAAAGAAAGAAAGGAGAATCAAGCAAACAACAAAACACCAAACCCTAAATTATAGCAGGAAAAACCCCTCCAACTAAGAAAAAAAGAAGAAAAAAGAGAGCCCCATTCTTACAGCCCAATTCTGTTTCATTCGCACTTTTGGAAGTGATTTTTCTCGGTTTAATTTTCTTTGGGCAAAATGCTGTAAATCAAGCTCTTTGCACCCTGCGGTTTCATTCTGCTCAGTCCAGGGTCTGTCCCTGTCACACTCGAGGTGCAGAGGCACCGGCAGCCGCGGCACCGGGTGTGTCTGCGGGAAAAAGCCAGGGAGCGCTGGCCCTGGTGGAATAAATGTGCCCATGGATCCCTGGCGAGAAGCAGGAAAGGTCCAGGGGCAGGCAGTAGGGACAGTCAAGGACATGTCCACCTGATCATTTTCCATCTGGAGAACAGTTGCGTTGCTGCTTGTCGAGCTGTGCAGCCTGTTGTTTGAGCAGCCTTCTTGTAACTGTGCCCGCTGGAAGTCCTGTTGCGGTAGGAAGCCCACTGTACCTTCCTGTGGTTGTGTTTTTGTTGCTGTTGTTTGGTTTTTCTGTTGTTGTTAATGAGATTAATAATAATAACAACCACTAAAATGCCTAAAATACTTCCTTAAATCCAACAACGTTAGCAACAAAGTGGCACATTTCACTGAATTCCACCCAACCAACACACAGCTGTACTCTCACAGCAAGATGCAGTTGCTCCTGAACAGAGTGCTTCCTTGCTGACAGAAGGGACAGATTTGGGGGGGGGAAAAAAAAAAAAAGTTTCACATCAGGGCCTATTATTACTTCTATTTTGAATATTTATACTGCTGCTCCAATGGAGCCAGTTGGATCTATTTCTACGAAATAGCCGTTACCTATCCCGTGGCACAAAAACTGCATGAGTATTTTTAAAGAACTTTTCCTATTGGTGTGCATTAAATACTGTAGTTTATCATAGCTTTGCATTGTGTGTAAAACCTGAAATACCTTGTTTTGACACTTGCGTGTTGTGCAGGGATGTTCTGCAAGTTGTTTGTTCTCTGCAGAAGGAAAAGGTACCTTGAGCTGCCGTTACCTGTGCCATATATGAACTGACAGGCACTTAATCTATTTAGAGTTAAGCAAGTTGTGCTTGTGATTTGCAACCAAATCAACCAGTGCAGACCTGGTTTGGAACAGGATAGACCAACTGAATGTTTGCATTCGTGGGTTTGCCTCCAAATTAGAGCCTCTCCAGTGTGTTAGCAGAATCAAAGCCTTTGAAAGTCCCCGAAGCAAAAACCTTTAGCCGTGTTTAGCATCCTTCAGACTTCCCCAGACAGGTACATCAAATGCAGTGCATGTTAATAGCAACACCCCAAGCAGGGGCTGTGGGGCTCCCTCCTCCTGACCAAGGAAGGTGCCCCCCTGCCTGGGAGCAGCCAGTGGCTGGGGTCATTGTCCTGGTGGACAGGACCAGCACAGCAGGGCTAGATGGGGCTTGGTGGGAAGAAGGAGCTGAGGCCCAAAGGAGCTGGGAGAGAGGCCCAGGGTGTGGGGATTCGGGGGTGCCGGGTGAAGCCACGTGGGTTTGGGCTTTTGAATCTGACCATGATTCATTTGCAGGTTTGTTCTTCTGAAATCAAGGGTCACCTTCACCTCTCGGGCTTCTATGGTGCTGCACCAACAAGCTGGTTTTGTTTCCACTCCTGGCAGTTTCAGATGATTCTTAAGGAGTATTTCAAAGGGAGATGAAGGAGCCTTTTCCTCAGTGGAGAACGCTCCACTGCAGCTCTGACTTTGACCTGATTTCAAGGATGTGATCCCTTGCTAGTTTCAGCTCTGCTCAACCTGTGGGTGGCCTTCCTTTGACCATGGTTCAAAGGCGGATGGGATGGGATGGGATGGGATAGGAGTAGGTTTAAAAACATGGTGCAAAGACTGCTTTTGTCCCTACCAAAGGTGAATTTTATACTTTCTCTCTTTCTGCACACCCCCCTCCCTCCTTTTTTTTTTGTTGTTTGTTTTTTATGTACACTACTTTTTGGTAGATTGTCTCTGTGATAAGAACACCAACCTGAAATGTGTGCATGGGGTGAGATTTTCGCTGGTATACTTTGGGTTTTTTCCCATGATGCTATTTGTCTGCTTAGTTTTCAATTTTCTGTCCTCATCTGTGTAATTGAAATGAATTGATTATCATGCTTTGGATTCGTGATATTGGTGCTTGTGAAAAATGAATGCATGCTCTTAACAGAGAGATAGGTGCGTGACTGGCTTTTATCTTGACAAAACAAATCAGGAAAAACAGCAACCTAGTGCAAGAAAAACAAACTTCAGTGTAGGTGGAGCAACCTGAGGGTGACACATAATCTTGTGCTGTCAGAATAGGAATTTTTCTATGCCTTTTTCAAATAACCAAATCAATAGTTGTGAGATGAAGTGTTGATTGAATATTGTTGATGACTTTTTAGAAAACCAGAACTTTTTAATTTACAAATGTTTCTTATATGAAAATTTTGTTAAGCCCTAATCCTTTGAAGTAAAACTCAGAGATGCAATACTGTAGGGTTTATCTATTTCAGTTACACCACTGGAGCTTTAAATTTGTTTAAGTAGATACTTTAAAAATCGATCTCAGTGGACCATGCTTATCTGGATTTAAATCTGCCCTGCATTCATGAAGTTACACGTGATCAGTAGCCACTCTCAGTCTGAAATAGACTTAAATCCAGGTAAGAATGTCCATATTAGGTTTGTGCATCTTTAACTGAATCAGTTTAAAGTCATGCTTTTAGGGAAAGCAGTGGAAGTTAGAACATTTGGAAGACTTCTACCACTTCAAAGTAGGTAGGTAATGCAAGGCTAGAAGTTAAAGGAAGGGAATGTTCAGTGTCCACTGACTCGAGTGGCAGTTGGCCTCTATTGAAATCAGTGGCTAAACCCCAGTGGTGGTTTTGTAGGGTCAGTGTACATGTCTGCAGCTCTAAGTCCTGAAAAGGAGTGTTGCACTTTGGTTTTTAAAGATGAATTAACTTTTTATTTTTTTATCTGGGTAGATAAATCAATAATTATTAATACAACTAGGCACCTTTAAGGGCATTTACATTAATATTCTGTAAATTATCACTTTGTGGACTCAAAGCTGAAGCATATTTCATAAATACACCTACTTCCATCCAAACTCCCTGACTTGTTTGGCTGAATCTGCAGAATCAATCTCAAGTGTAGACAAATCCATGCCTTTTGAGAAAAGTTTTCTTTACTCACTGGAAAGCAGTGAGGGCAGAAAGGGCAGTTGGTTTCATTGTGCACCAGGGGATATAATTTGGCAGTGAAATCTTTTGTTCACTCCCCTGAAACTGCCTGAGATCTAGGCCAAGCTATTCAAGTTTGGGCAACCGCATCTAATTTCAGGAAAGCTTCTAGAAAAGCAGTTTGTTTA